CAGTAGTGTTGATACTCTGTGTCCTGTCAGTAGTGTTGATACTCGGTGTCCTGTCACTGGTGATGATACTTTGTGACCTGTATCTAGTGTTGATATTCTGTGTCCTGTCAGTAGTGTTGATACTCTGTGATCTTAGTCGGTTGGCAATAGACTCGTGGTGACCCGTTGATTCCTGGTCCATGGCAATGTCTGTAGAGTCGTTCTCATTCATTGACTCATGAGGATCTGCGGAGTCCATATGATATTGGCCTCTGCCGTGACCTTTCCTCCTCCGAAAGACCCTGAAAGATGCGACAGATGTTAGTAAGACTCATTCATGTGAAGATTTATACAATGCTAACTACACAGCATACTACAAGACACAATATGTGCACACAAACTTACCTGTACAAGATCTCCCTGTAGGAAAGGGTTGGAGTTCCCTCCTCTGTGTAATAGCCAACCTCCTGCAGACGAACACTTTTCCTCAACATGGCTGGAAAAGGGTAGAAAGACAGAGAGGTGAATAGTCAGCAACACACAATGACGCAGCCAGAGACTTTTTTACGACAAATGGTGTATATTGTCACTATGAACAATAACGTAATGGAATGAATGACAGCTAGGAAATGCAATTAACAGTATACAGTATGTGCATTCGCCTTCCTTCTTCCTATCAGTAATACACAGCTAGAAGGTACATTAAACTATATAATACTAACATGAATAAAAACAAAAATAGGATGAAAGTATTGACATGTTTGTTGACTTGTACTGCCTGATCTTTCATGCTCTCTTCTTGATTGGCATGTACACAAACATATTGCACAGAGAGTGAGTGACAGACGGACAAGTCAAGGCTTAAAGCGGTTCAGTCTCAAGTTTTAAGACAAATCCTACATCAGACATTTTATGTGTCAAATGTGCAGCATTGCTGGTAACTTACTTGTTCTTCTGTGGTGGAAACACCCAATCAGTAGAAACCCTTGATGCCGTGAGCTCAAATGTTTGTTTCTTAATCAGAAGTGCAAACTGTTTGGTGTGTGTGCAAGCCTGATGACTAGCTGTTTAACTGGAATGAAGGATTCCATCAGTGTCTTCATGATTCTATGGGGATGTCAAAGAACATCTCAGCATTCTATATGCAAGTTAGGTTTAAATAGCATGAAACTGGCTCCTCCCACTTGACATAAATGAATGTATGGACTGAATGATTGATTTTTGACACGTTATCACTAAAGTTTTATCACTTGTATTACCGGCCCCATAATTTCGAGTTATTTCCTGCAAATTAACTGATTTGTAAAAACTTTTTTACAAGAAAGTATATAATATAACAAATATGGATACTTACGTTTTTCAATATTACTGTAAATGACAACTCAATGAATATTTACTTAAAATGGCAAGTTCTTTCGAAGAAATGCCTGCAGAAACTAAATCAACACAACTGTTTAAGGATTTTGTCTCCTTATGATTAGTACCTAATGTAAAGGTCCTTTGCACGAAATCATATGAAATCAATAGGAAATCACAGAACTGTTAATTAAAGTGTATTTTATTTTAGAACA